CCGGTCTTTTTATTTCCTCTTTCTCTAAGCGGGCGAATGTGCAGTGTAGCAAGCCGAGGATGGAGGCGTGGAGTGGCTGTCCCCACGGGCGCCTCTCGGGGCTCCCTGCCTTCACCAGACGGGCTTTTCCCGTTTTTCCAAGGTCGAGTTTGGTGCAGTTGCCCCTGGTTTCCGAACCCAGGCCCGTAGATGTTAATCCCGTAGGTTATGCACCTTTGCAGCGTCGTGGTGGCCCTGGTCTCTGCTCCTTGTGTTGGCTCAGTGGGTTCTCACCGCAGGGAACGGCTGTCCCCCATTTTCAGGCGAAACTCGCATGTTCTTTTGGATCCAGCTCACACGTCTTTTTGTGATGCCCTCCTGCGCCAACCTTCCTCTCAACTCCATGGTTCTTTGACATGGTTGTGGTAATCTGTATCTGATCCATCGTATCGGAGTGCGCTTGTCACCTCCAGTGCACTGTGAGGGTCTTGAAAGCAAAGTCATCTGCATTGGTAATCTTCGGGTTGCCAGTGTCTACTGAAGGCTCGAACCATTGTTAGATGCTCAATAAACGTGTATTCAGGCAGCTTTCTGGTCTAGTCCAGGGCTCCTTCCACTAAATCATGAGTGTGTTAGCTTACCAGTTAGTAGCCCCTTCCATGAATATATAAACAGCTGGCGGATGCTGGGGGCCCTTGTGGAGGGAAAAGCAACAGATGGGCCCTCTGGCCTGTAGTTACTTGAAAACAGTGTTGATATTTTCAGTGACTGATTGAATTCTTGGGTTGCTCTTAGCCATCATTGGGGGGGGGGGTGCCAGCAGTGACTAGGGCATCTCTAGAAGTCAGTAAAGCCTGGGACAAGTGACACTCTGTCCAAGTTTTCCACCTCCAATATTTTATAGGCATGAATAGAGATTATTGAAATTAAAGGGAAAGACAGGTCATCAAATAATAATAATAGGCAATCTTGAGCGGTGCTTGAGATAGTATATGTGAAATTGCTTTTTATAAAATATATTTTTGGCTGGTGTGGCTCAGTGGACTGAGTGCTGCCTGCAAACCAAAGGGTCACTGGTTTGATTCCCAGTCAGGGCACATGCCTGGGTTGTGGGCCAGGTCCCCAACAGGGGGCGTGCTAGAGGCAACCACACATTGATGTTTCCCTTTCTCCCTCCTTTCCCCTCTCTCTAAAAATAAGTAAATAAGATCTTTAAAAATATATAGAAGCATCAGAGACATGTAAAAGATTAATATAAGATTCACACAGGCTTCAGCAGAGACCCCGGTACCTTCTTTCTCTGGCCTCATGGAGCAGCTCCAATTGGTTTCTTCCTGCCTTTGGGATTACAGTGGAGGGGCTGGGCGAGTGCCCCGCTGGAACACCAGCTCTGTTGTGTCATCTCTAGGGGGTTGTCTGAAAAAGAGCTGCAGGAGCTGGCTGTTAGAAACCAAGCACACTGCAGTGGGAAAGGGGGGCACAAAAATGGTGGGAAAGGAAAGGAGGGGATTCAAGTGAAGTGACATTGATACCCGCTCACTTCCTGATCTATATTCGTGCATCACCTTAGCTGGTCTTTCCTGACCTGGTTAAGATGGCAACTCATTCCCCAACCTCTGCCCTATTTATGGCCTGTCCTTTGTTCTTTCTCTGTAGCCCTATCACCACCTAACGTACTGTGTTTACTATGCACTTATTTTGTTGTCTTTTTCTTCTTATCAGAATGAAAGCTCCTTGAGGTTGGGGACTTTTGGCTTCTGGGACAGTGCCTGTGTGTTCAGGTGGTCAGTATCTGTGGAATGAATGAATGGTTATCTCGTTTTCTCCATTTTCTTTCTGCACTCCTGCAGATTTGCAAAGTTAAGAAAGGAAGAAGATAGGCAAAATGTAACAGAAAAAACATCTCTTTCCTGGTCGTGAGGAAATTAACACTGAAGAATGAAATAATTCAGTAAGGTAGACTCTACTTAACACTAAGTTGCTTTTTGCCCCAAAGCGAACTCAGGACATAAGATCTTGCATGCATGGGAATATTTATGGAGACCATAGGACAGACTTTTGGAATTGTGATTAATCCTAGAAAATATGGAGTACATCATTAATATGACTTTTTAAATAATTTTATTGTTATTTTTTAAAGATTTTATTTACTTATTTTTAGAGAGGGAAGGGAGGGAGAAAGAGAGAGAGAGAGAGAGAGACATCAGTGTGCGGTTGCTGGGGGCCGTGGCCTGCAACCCAGGCATGTGCCCTGACTGGGAATCGAACCTGCGACGCTTTGGTTCGCAGCCTGCGCTCAATCCACTGAGCTACGCCAGCCAGGGCTTAATATGACTTTTTAACCCTTGTAACTATAAAGGTTGTTGGGAGCCTTCCCAGGGGCCTAGGAGTTAGTAGTAAACCCCAGAGATAGCCTTAGGCCCAAGTAGTTTTCTTTCTGTGGGTAAGATCCAGGAACTTGGCCTGCTTTCCTCTGACCCTATACATACTTTTTTAAAAAATCCACATCCAAGGGCATTTTTCATTGCCTTTTTTTTTTAAGAGAGAGTGAATGAGAGAGAGAAATGTTGCTTGGTTGCCTCCAATACGTGCCCAGACCAGGGATGGAACCAGCAACCTGGTATGTGCGGGGATCAAACCTGCGACCTTTCTGTGCACGGGATGGTGCTCCAACTGACTGAGCCACACGTGCCAGGGCCCTATTCATACTTTTTGAAGTTCTTCCCCCAAAACAAGGGAAGCCAGAACTAGGGAGTGACTGAGCTGGGGTTCAAGCCCAGGTATCTGATTTCTTTCCATAGTTCTGTGGGAAGAAGATGGGGAGGGAGACAGAATTGGGGGTACAAGGAGAACTTGACTCAGGAGGAGGAAGAAAAAGGAGATAGTGGGAGAGACCAAGGCAAAACTGGCACCCCCTTGGCCACCTGGGAGTCCATGAGTCAGCTCTAGAAAGTCTGTGAACCTTTAAAACTGTATACATTTTTATGTGCTCCCCCCCCCCCACATAGAGGGTTAGTAGTTTAACAGATTTTCAAAAAAACCTATGATTCAAGATTTTGAACCAACTACTGAGCCACACAGTTTGTGTGTAGTATGTTCTAATGAAGCTTTTTTAAATGATTTCTTTTTTCTTAAAATAGGGAGAGGGAGGACAGAACTCTGCCTGAGCCAAAGAGCTTATCAAAGTCTGGTTATAAGGCCACAGGATGAAACAGGCTGTTTCTGTGGAAGCAGAAGAAACTGTGCGGCTTCAGTTTCTGTTGCTAGGTGGCTGGGAAACACTGACGGCCAGCAGAGTTCCAGGACAGTGGTCCACGTTGTTTTACACAGTCAGACAAAGTGTGGTTTGCTTTGCAACCTTCTGAATGGCCTTTAAATCCCTTGGGGATTTGGGATGTGAGCTTGACATGTGGTGTAGAAAAGTATGAGAGCATTTGAGAACAGGGTGGTCCTGCAGAATCTGGGGTGTGGTCTGTCACTCACTGACCTTATTTGAGGGTCCAGGGCAGGAGCTGGCCAGGATCTAGGGCAGATCTTGGCTGCCTCCTCTTTTTGGACTTTTATTAGAACATACCCAAGCCTGTTATTTACGTGTTATTTATAGGTGCTCTCAGCTACAAGGGCAGAGAGGTATAGTCGCTACAGGGATGATGTGGCCCAAAGTTAGCCTCCTGGCAGGGGTGTGTAAACTTTTGGCGTCTCTGGGCCACACTGGAAGAAGAAGCAGCATTGTCTTAGGCCACATGATAAATACACAAACTCTAACAGAAACTGATGAGCAAAGAAAGGTTTTAAGTAAATGTACGAGTTTGTGTTGGGCGGCATTCACAGCCATCCTGGGCCACATGCAGCCTGCGGGCCTCGGGTTGGACGCCCCTGATGGGGTCTACGTGCGTGAGGGAAACTGGAGAAGGCTCGTACTGAATTGCACGTGCACCTTGTTTCAAAATGTTCACTTGTAGTGTGTCCGTGAACACGGGCAGTCTGCGTGTACGTGCCGGCCACCACTCTAAACACAGAACCCAGGGCTGCCCCGTGCACAAACTTCTAAAAAATTTAATGTGTTGATAATTTAATGTGTCTACGCGTATCATTTAAAGTTTAATTTTGGCTCATGTACCATACTGCTTCCATTTGAAAATTTTTAATTAATTCATGCATTTTTTGACTCCAAAGAACATTTTTGTGCTTTAAAAACTATCATGGTAGAACAGCTCAAATGGGGTAACTCACTGGGGAAGAGTAACTCTTCTGGAAGCAAAGACTTTGAAACATTCTCATGGCCTGTTGTGTTTCAGACTATTACTTAATCATTGTCAGCTATACTCATTCTCATAGATTCTTCCCAGTGACAGTTTCCATCCAAACAGCACTGTGTGATTGAGTCGTGCTTTGCCAGGTTTTTTCACGCGCAAGGCTAGGCATTCTTGCTGAGGACCCTTTTCCTTTGTTTTCAAGTGTGAACGCTGAGGCCTAGGACGTGGAAGTCACCCCTTCCTGGTTTCGGGGGTAATTCGTGACAGTGCCGGGCGGGACCCTGTGGTTGTCAGCCATTGGAATGACTTTTTATTTTTGTGTTTTGTTACAGAAGCATCCGTTTTAGTTATTCCAGAAAACCAGAAGAATATTAATTTCTACCCATCTATAGAATGAGGGTAATATTATAGACCTTGTGGGATTGGTGTAAGCATTAGGGGTTACGTGCAGGCCTGCTGAGTACAGCGTGGGGAGCAGAGGAAGTATTTTGCGTGTGGTGGCTACTGGTACAGGAGTACAGGATTATTTTGATTTTTATTATTAGAATATACCATTCTTAATTTTTCTTTTGTTAAAAAAGTATAAACATTTCTCTCTCCTCCATGGTTATCATTTTCTTCATTCCCCAAGTGAGCTAACCAACCATATTGGAAAAATTAAACTCAACACAGTGTCTCAAACTCAAACACAACACAGATTTAGAGTTCAAGTTTCAATTATTTTTTATTGTGTTATCATTTACCTCGGTAAATTCATATCCCAATTTAAAATGCCCCAAAGCAAATAAAACTTTGTTATAAATTCAAGTACTGTAGTTTAAAATGCACATGTGACACACAGTAGTTGCATAGTGGAATTACTATTATAAGCAATTACATTCATGATGCCCAGTACTAAGTTTTCACACTGCGAATTGATTACGCTAGATATACTGCATACGATTACCATTGCTTAGCACAGTAACTTGAGCACACTAGCTTATATGATTGCACTTTGCAAAGCTTTAATGAAGTTAGTAGCACTTAACTAATATTGAATGAAAACACTTGTATGTCTAAGATGTATTTTAGGTGAGATGCTTATGCAAGAGTAAGCACTTAACATGCTGTTGTTTTCATGACAACGAAATTCTCCTTTCCACCAAATAGAATAAGCCAGGCAAAAAGTAATCTGAAGTTAATTGAAAGAAAAACTTTAACTTTACATCCCTGTATTATATTAAAGATTATTTAACATAATTTTCTTCTGGTTAAAATATACTGTTTTTTTTTGGTTGAAATAAAGGGACAGGCTGGCGGGGGAGAGAGAGAGAGATAGAGAGATTGAAAAGGCTGTACTAAAATGCTAACAGCTGTAGCCCTTGGATGATACTTTAGCTGGGAAACAAGTATTGTGAGTGGCACTCAACATGTTTTCTGTTTAGAAAAAAATTAATAGCCTATAAATTTATAATGTTTAAAACAGGTAGTTATTATTTAAGGTCTTAAAATAAATATACCTGTGTTAAACAAATTAGGTTGTTTAAAAAACTTTGCAACAAAACGACTTACTCACAAATATATTTTCTATCCATATTTATTACAGTGTGAACAATTTAAAAACAAATCCTGCAAATACTCTTAGCTTAGATAACAGTAGTGTTATCTGAATTCACATAAATGATTTCAGGAACTATTTATAAGACTTTCTCTGCTATTTTACCTAAGGTCACATCAAACACTCCAGTTAGTCACATTTCACTTTACAGATGGAAAAGCCGGTATGGTGCGAGGCTGGAAGCGGTCTAGACACTGTAGGGATCAGTTTTCCTGATTTGTTTGTGCCGCTGGCCTCTTTTTTTTTGGTGGTGGTAGAGGACAATAAAGAAACTTCTGGAAATCAGATAATACAAAATACTTTGAGATGAAGCTCAATGTTATTTAATCAAATTAGCACTGGGCTATTTTCTATAGTTTGTTCAGAACTGCTCATAGGAAATAATTTATTTTTCTAAATATGCAAAGAATTGTCACAAATGGAAAAATTTTGGTTAAGTGAATAGGGGGTCCTCTTTAAAAGTTTGTTTATAATTGTTTTCTTTTTCAATTAGAAAAATCTTTTTTTAAAAAAAGACTTTATTTATTTTTAGAGAGAGGGGAAAGGAGGGAGAAAGAGAGGGAGAGAAACATCAATACGTGGTTGCCCCTCGCGCGCCCCCTTCTGGGAACCTGGTGCATTTCCCAGCCATGTGCCCTGACTGGGAATCGAACTGGAGACCCCTTTGGTTTGCAGGTTGGCATTCAATCTACTGAGCCACACCAGCCAGGGCAGAAAAACCTTTTTAGATATAACCAGTCATACAATAGTGATGGATATCTCAGTGTGATTCTTAACGTAATACAATAGTATTTAGATAAATTATTCCCTTTTGCTTAGAGTATTCAGCCATTGATTAAAATTTCCAAGATTTAACTAAGCCACTAATGCTTACAGTCTCTGACAAAATTTCAAGGGAACAAAAAAGACTATTTGGAGAAAAAATAGAAACTGTACTGAATTTCTGATTTTATTTTTAAGCTTCCCCTTTCCCAAAAATACATCCATAATTAGATTCAGAGAAATTTTGTCCCTTGCCATTTTTTCCCATGAAGAAAATCACACATCAATCAATCATAACATACATGCCTAACTTACCATACATACTTAACTTACATTTGGGACAGAAGGGGGTCAGCGTGGCCCACCTCGGTCCATCCTAATGTCATTTTTAAATCAAGTCAACACTTTCTTTGGATTAATTAGCTGCTGATGGAGATTTGATAGAGGGAATACTGCAAGATCTCCGCATGATTAGCCTGACTTCTATATCTGGTAGATTATCCTGTTTAGTCTGTAAACACCCTTCATCAGTGGCTGCTAAATGAAGATCAAACCGAAGAGAAACAGATTTTTTCCTTAATCGAGGGTTATCTTTAAAGAAGGAACCTTCCCATTCTTTGATAACTTCATCCACTTTCTCTGTCCTGAAATGATAAAATAAACCTTTCTACATGAAGAAATACGGACATATTTAAAAATATGTAATATGTATTCCATATGAAAAAGAAATCAAGAAGTTTGAATAATTTATAATTTACATTTACGTTTTAAGTTTCATGGACAATTTACATCGTGGAATTTATAACTTACATACTTTTAAAAATCATAGGAATATAATTTCAAGGAAATCTATGGAACTCATATTTTGGTGTATTTTTAGAAAAATGGTGAATTAAGGATTGAGCATTTCTTCATGAGTTTTTGTTTATGTATATTTACTCACGTCAGATTACAAATCACAACATATTAAAATTATGTTTGGACACACTCAAAGATTACTGAGCTTGTCCCACTGAAGTTAATTTCTCTGCATGTTTATTATTGCGTCTTTGTCAAGATTGTTTTACTTACTGGATTGTGCCGTGGGCTTCCGTGCTTTCCTTCACGACGTTTCCATTTAATATCGCTTGTCTGGTCACTGTTTCCACTTTCTCATTCTCACACTTTTGTGGGGCTTTTGTCGAGAAAGATATTTCATTTATAATGGCTGTGGAAATTTTATGTATGAAATATTAAATTACAGGGTTGCGGTATGTACTAATCACAGTCAATTTATGTCAGAAGTCGTTTAAATATTGCTTATTTTTGCTATGTCAGAGTGTTTATGGTCCCTGCAAGCGGCACTTCAGTTTTCAAATCAGTTTACTTACATCAGAAACTCACCTGAAGGTAAAACAAAACCAACTCTACTTGTAGGTTTTTGTTCTTTTTTCCCTCCTTGGATACAACCGTAATATCTGAAATTGGAAAGAATTATAGAAGCAACGACGTACTGGCAGATAATTGAAACGAATGCTCACCAATTAGAGAATAGATAAATTGGAGTATTTTCATACAATGGAAGTACTATTTAGCAGTGAAAATATATGAATTAGGGGTACACTGGATCTCATGGATGAATCTCCCAAATATAACATACTGAAAACACAGGGTAAATTGTAGTTAATTTTATAAAGGTGAAATAATATACCAAACAGTTTCATATTTTGTTTAGGGATACATCCATATTAGTATGCAGGAGTTGGAGACTAATAAGCATCACATTCCAGAGCCAGGTTCCAATGAGGAAGGAGGAGGAGACTGGGGCCATGTGGTGTGGGAGGGGGGGGCGTGGGGGGGTGGGGGAGTGTTGATAGATTTCAACAGCAGTCTGTGAGTTTCACTGTGGAGCTGGAGGAAGTGGTGTACATGGAGTTCATTGTATTTTTCTTGATACTTTCTTGCATATATTAAATATGGCATAATAAAAATCATATTATAGGAATATTAAAGACCAAGTCACCGATATCCCAAAGGATTAGGAATTAGATAAAATTCACAACCCTTTATTTTATTTAATAATAAATTATATGTATATTTACATAACACTATTTTAAGCACTTGACAAACATTAATTTATTTCATCTTCACCGCAATCCTGTGAGGTAGGCAATATTTTCTTCCATGTTATAGGTGAGAAAACTGATGCGCAGAGAGGTTTAGTGACTTCCCTGGCATCACTCAGCTAGTAAGTGGTATATTTTGAATTCACTTTATGTTTTTCAAAGATTTAGCAAATGTCAAGACATTATAGGTTAAAGCAGTTTCATCTAGTTTTATAGAGGACTCGGGATTCTGAAGCAAGAAAGAATAAAGGTTTCGTTTGAACGAAGTGGTACCTATATGGTACACATATACAATGAAATATGAAATCAGCCACAAAATAGGAAAATGAAATCTTGCAACAACATGGATGGACCTAGAGGGTATTGTGCTGAGTGAAGTAAGACAGAGAAAGACAAAGACCCTATGATTTCACTTACATGTGGAATCTAAGAAACAACACAAGTGAACAAGCAGACTGGAAACAGACTCAGACACGGAGAACATTTTGATGGCTGTCAGATGGGAGGGGCTTGTTGCATGGGTGCAAAATGTGAAGGGATTGGAAGTACAAATTGGTAGTTACAGAACAGTCGTGGGGATGTAAAATACAGTGTAGGGGATACAGTCACTAGTATGATAATAACTATGTGTGGTGTCAGATGGGTCTGATCACTCACTAGGTTGTATGCCAGAAAGTAATATAATATTGTATGTTGACTGTACTTGAAAATTTTTAAAAATTACGTAAAAAAGAATAAAGTTTTTTAATGACAAAATGGAAAATTGGAGGCTGTGCTGTGTTCAAAGCCATGTGACCTTGTGAGTGAGGGCAGATTATGAAATTGAATTAGTAAGAATTCTTCTTTGATAGCTTTTGTTACCGGGACATCCTGAAGTTTTCTAAATCCTCCAACTCCACTGCTTCCCATGGCTGTAATATTCTGGTGTCTGATGTGTGATAGGAGTGGGCCTTTGTTGGGGCATGTGTGGTAATTATCGTTTTCCAAACTTTCCCCGCACATGGTCCGTATAAGGCAGTGACTACCACTAAAAGGTTTGCATGGCAAGGAAAGTGAGCAAGTTTTGAAAGATCATTGTTGTATGACTTGGGAATTGTTACCATTGCGTTCGAGGCTTGATGTGCTCTCTGTTGTAGCTAATGTGCCTGACTTTGGCGGTTTTGTCCGTAATTTGTGGAGGTTAGAACTAGTTCTTCCTCGTATCCTTTGCAGTGTGTGCTAGTTTTATTGTAGAAACTCAGTGAGCACATCCTGGTGATAATGGCTTTTTTAGAGTCAGTTTCTCTGAGTGCATCAGAATGACATTAGTGGCTCTGCGTGTCTGGCCACTTGTCATGAACTCTTATGGTATTAAGTACCTGATTTCTTCCTTCTCCAGGAGGCGGCGGTAAGTGGCGATTTCTTGTTCTAGCCTCATCTTCGTGTTGAGAAGCATCTCGTGCTCTTGAAGCTGCTTTTCGATGCCGCGCCTCACTTCCTGTAGCTCCTTTTCTAGTCCTTCGATCACAGCCTCCAGGTCTTGGAGCTGCGTCTGGTAATGCTGCTCGCTGGCTTGCAGGGAGCTTTCAAGGCCCCTCTCCTGTTTTAGAGAGACCTTCATCAGTGAGTCAGGACAGGAAAGCGCGTTTCTGAAACCTGATCGGCAGTATCTGTATTCTGTTTTGTTGCCTTCTTTCTTAAAAAGGTTGCAATAATTCTACATCACTTAAGGAAGAGGTGTTTCCTTATAGCTTTATGTATGACCTAAATATTAACAATATATTTATTTTATATATGTAGCTAGAGAGCTTCCTATTTCAAAGGAATCCTGTGATAATTCTTATGGAAAAAACAAAAATAAAAACAAAACAAACCCCAGTGTGATAAACTTACTACTCTTATTTAATTTTTTAAGTGTTGAAAATATAGACTATTAAATATCAAAGGCAAAGTGGACTGCTTGTAAAAGGCAGTTTAGGAAAGTGCTTACATATTTTTCTATCAGACATCTCGATAGCGTGGGTAAGAGCCTCCCCACTGCGGTGACTGCGGATACAGGCGAAAACTCGAGGAGGCGTCAGAATACGCCGTTCCCCCGCTGCAAAACTCAGAGAACCCGCGGGCCATGAGCAAGGGCCGCTTCCCTTTTCTAGGTGTGGACTGAACCCTGCGCAGTTTGGTAACAGCTATCGCCACGAAGGAGGGAGGGGGCCGTTGGACTGGGACCAGGGAGAGAACTCAGTGGCCTTGATTTCTGGCTCCCTGTGGGTTTCTCACTGTAAGGTGACTGGACCATGTTTGTTTCCCTCTCTTACCCAGGTGACACCGGGGCGGGGGGGGCGGCCTCCGTGGGCCAGTTGCTCCTGGGGAGAGCGTGCTCACCACAGCATGGAGGGATTCGATTTCCACTTGCAGGTGGTGCCACTGGCGCCGTGCTTCCTTGAGTTCTGCTTGCGCTGCCTTCAGCGCCTCTTCGTCTTTGTCCATTTTTTTGCTTAAATCTTCTTCTAGCTAGAAGAGAGCCAGCAACAACAGTGACAAAAAAAGAAAGCATGCTCGAGAGTGAGACATATAAAAGCAATGACAGAAAAATAGCATAGGAACCCAATCATTTTTTTTTCTTTAAATTGTTAGAGTACGAGTGTATGTTTTGGTGCTCAGTTACTAATTAAGTATGTGAGCAAGTCAGTGGCACTGTCAGCCTCCATTATCTCAGGTGTAAAATGAACCTCAAAAGTCTCTCCCTGCCCTGTCTGGTGTAGCTCAGTGGATGGAGCGCAGGCTGGGAACCAAAGCATCGCAGGTTCGATTCCCAGTCAGGGCACATGGCTGGGTTGCAGGCCATGGCCCCCAGCAACCGCACATTGATGTTTCTCTCTCTCTTTCTCCCTCCCTTCCGTCTCTAGTGATAAATAAATAAAATCTTTAAAAAGTCTCTTCCTACTATGGCAGTCTGTGACAAGCAGGAAAATACACCAATTTTAATGAAAAGTAACAATTTACAGGACCTAAGTGTGAGACCTCTGACTTTTAACCTTTCATTATAGGTGGCATTCATAAGGAAGAAAGATCGAAATTAGCTACTATTTCCCCCCATATTTTCCTGTAGGTTGCTTTATAAAAGCAAATAAATAGCTATCTATCCTAAATTAATCAATTATTGGACTGAGTACATAGCGAGTAAACATTGCTGGAAAGTATATGATGAATAATTTAGAGAATTAAGTTATCGCAGGCATTAGAGATCCTAAAGTAGATTTCTGTGTTAAGCTACCTCACTGCTGATTTCTCTTTTTCAATATGATCTTTTCAGAAGGCATGTGAATTCTGGGTATCTAGGGTAATAGCAGAAAGGACTTCCTTATCCATTGTTTTCTAAATATCTTCACATTCAATAACAAATAGAATATTTTATGTAATAGTTAGCTTTACATGTTCTTATGCTGATGTTGAAATTAAGTGCAAGTACCTTTTGACGGAATTCTCAGCAGTTGGCCCCAAGAGCAATAGGAGCAGTGTATGAACTTGGCTGTCGTATTTTGAAGCAAAAATTATAACCTTTTTATGTTCTTATAAAATGCATTTTAAAATAAACGAATTCATATGATGGTACAACCAATTCTTTTTTTTTAAAGATTTTTAATTTTTATTTATTTATTTGTTTTTAGAGAGGGAAGGGAGGGAGAAAGAGAGAGAGAGAGAAACATCAATGTGCGGTTGCTGGGGGTCATGGCCTGCAACCCAGCCATGTGCCCTGACTGGGAATCAAACCTGCGACACTTTGGTTCGTAGCCCGCGCTCCATCCACTGAGCTACGCCAGCCAGGGCACAACTGATTCTTTTTTAAAGGAAGCCCTGCAGTAATTGAAAACCTATGAATAGAGTTTAGGGCAAGGTATTAGAGAACAGTGTCCATATATTTCTCGTGGCTTGTTGTTCTTAGCATTTTTGGCAAAAGCAAGCAGCAACGCCTATCAGAGCAGCTGCAAAAGAAAATTTGTGAGAATTTAGGAAACAGGAGTGCACAAAAATGATGATCTTTACTGGTCTTTTGGATTTGGGAATCAGCAGCCAGGCTTGTGTGGTAGCTGGATTCTGAAGAAGGTTCCAACGAACCACACTTCCCAAAATTCATGTCTTTGTGCGGCGGACATCCACACCGAATCCGGGCTGACCCGTGTCTCGTGCTTTAGCCGGCAGCATGTGGCAGAAGTGGCAGTTCTAGGCTGAAGCCTGAAGAAGTCCTGACAACTTCCACTTCTGCACCTTTGGGAGCCCTGGACCAACATGTAAGGAGTCTGAATGTTTTGTTGGAGAGATCGTGTAGAGAGGCCCGGCGGAGGGAGCGCCTGAGGCCACATGGAGAGAGAAATACGGAGAAAGAGACAGGCCCAGTCTCTCAGCTGAGCCAGCCTTTCAAAAACCCCGTCAAGATGCCAGACACAGGAACGAGCCGCCCTGGATGACCCAGTGCAGCTGTGCCCCAAGAGGATTGCTGTCCCAGCCAATGTCCTGTGAGGCTGCAGGGTCGTCCCAGGGGACCTAGGCAGCCCACAGGATCACGAGAGGACATACAATTTTTTAAAAAAAATCTAAGTTTTGGGGTGGTTTGTTATATAGCAATAAGTAACTAAAATAGCTCATGTTTCTTTATTTTTAATAATTAAATAGGCTTTCTTGAATTTATTTCAGCTTTCTGAGTTCTTTGAAAACAACCCTCCAAAGCAGATATGTTAACTGATGCATTTCAGCATTGTGACTTGTAAACGAAATAACTTGCATTTTTACTATTGCAAAAATAAAGTGTTTATTTGGTTTACATTTTCAGAAATGGTCATGATTTCCCCCCACTCTCTTTGTAAAAGGTGAGTCAACTATTCCAACAGTTAAATACCCTGGTGACTTTGCTTAATCCAGGATACCGATCGTTCTTTATGAAGACTGACAATGTTACCCAGAGGTAAAATTTGTGATGTTACTAAAAGTGGATAGTTAATGGAGTAAAGTCCTATGATCTCCCAGTAATATATTCCCCCTCTTAAGTAAACGCTTTGCTGTACTGGGTGCCTGGAATAGAACTTGAACTCAGATATGGTAGGTAAACTAAAAACAAATTTCTGAATTTCTGAATCTTTGTTTCTAAAATGTTTGTACATTTGTTTAAGGATTCAAGACCCTAGTTAATTGCTAAGAGGTGATTATCACTTTAAAACAGAGTAAGTCTATGAAATTAGGATTTAGCCCTTATTTAACTTGGCTCTTTCTTTTTTTTTTAAACTTCAATATTACATGCCAAGTATTGGAAATAAGCATTCTCATCTTATAGCACAAAAGCAAAAATCTATAATCTAAATGGAGAGTCTATCAATTTGGGGATTTTGGTTGTCCTAATTTGTATCAGAATTGTTCTGAATGCCATGCTCACATACCCAGATAATTTCTATTTATAATGATCTCGTATAAAACCGAATTCATTAAAAAGGTTTAGAAATATTTTACTTCGGTTTTCTCTACTTGCCATTTCAAAGATGCTGTTGAAATCACCTCTATCAATAACTCGGTAGTATCTTTGAAGGGTATGTGAAATGCTTCCTCCTTGGAGGATGTCTAAAAGAGGTTCGAGTTCACCATTTTATCGTATGTTGACCCCAGGTTTTATTAATGTCAGCCACCTCCTAATTTCTACAAAAATTAAACCCATCGATCACCATGTATGTCATGGTCATTTCACAGTGTCATCACAGCCTTTCCCCCTAAAGTCCCCGACAGATTGCAGTCAAGCCTAAATTCCTTCCCCAGTAGATGCTGCATTGAAAAGGAAATACTGTACCTCAGAGAGGCCGGGACAGGAATTGGGTAGACATGGATTGTCTCCTTATCCTGGAAGGTGCCTGTCTGTATGAAATCATTACCTGGATCCTTGTTGAGAGCACGGTCTCTATCTGATTTCTGGTGAGGAGCTTTTCATAGTTTGCCCTGATCTCATTGAGTAGCTGGGACAGCTCCATTCTTTTCCCATCCTCCACCTTGGCTAACTGAACCTTATCGATAGGACGAGTTGCTGCGGCAGCAGCACTGCTCTGTCTGCTTCCGAGCCCAGAGCCCCGTGGAGCCTTAAAGAGGCAGAGCTCCTTTTTCCGGGAGCCAGAGGAAATTCCTGTGTTTGTAGTCAATTATGCAAGTATGTGGTAAACCCTTTTCTCCTGCTGTGGTTGGAATAGTAGAAGTGTCAGACCCTCCAGAAAGGAACCCCCCCCCCAAAAAAAAGAAAAGAAAGAAAGCAAGAAAACATCCTCGGTATTCCTGAAGTGGTTCTCTCTAAAACTGAGTACTTTTTGGGGAAAAAAAGGTCATTTCTCTTATGGAAAGGAACTGGAGCATAATACAAAGAAAGTTATATTTTGTTTTCCCAAGATATTGCATAGAAATAAATCTGGGCCCCAAAGCATGATAGCTGAATTTTCCCTTCACAGTTTTTCTTATCACTTGAATTCTTTCAACAAGTGCTGTGGCAGGGCATTAGGATACATTGTCAGTCTGAGATATTCTGACAGTTACTGGAAAAAGCTACCACCAGATTCAGATGACAATTGTCATTAGCCACAGGGCTGATAAATCGCATTTCCCTCCAGTGCGCACTGTGTGGCTCAGGCGGGCTGCTGGCCTGACAGCAGGCGTGATGTACGGAGGCGAATTCCTCAAGGCACATTACGCACGAAGCCAGAGCTGGAGGTAGGTGCCGACCGAGTACAAGAGCTGAGCGTTAACGTTCCCCGCGCTTCAGCAAGGTGAAAGAAAATGCCACCAGATGGTCCCTGCACAGGCTGTGTTCGCTCAGGTACGGCTTACCGTGGGGTTGCTCCTCCATCAGCCAGCACGTGGTTAATGACAGCTCACACTTGTAAACATAGCATTTGTGCAGCTCTTTGCACTTGAAAAAGCACCTTTACCTCTATCACGCCATCCAGCCTTCCCATCCCTGTCATTGTGCAACCAGGAAAGAGGACAAGCCTGAGGCAGGTTCAAGTGCCTTGCCCAAGGTCATATGGTGAGGCAGTGGCAGCGTCGGGACCGGAACTCTGATTCCTTGGTTGTATTCCATATAGTGCTTCTTCTGTCTCTGCATTCTCCCTCTCCCCACCTAAATTTCCTGTTTAATCTGGCCAGCTAGTTGCTTAGATGTGACTGAAATCATAGGAGAGTAGATCTGTCATTATGGTCATTTGTAGAATGGTGCGGCTGAAAATGTATCCAGAGCACCATCGTTCAGGGAATAGTTGGTCCTCGGCTCTAGTGCTCACAGGGCCTTCGAATGTGCATCGCGCTGTTTCAATTTCTGAGCGAAGTCACTGCTGGCCGGCCCAGTGTGTGCCGGCCATTCCCACAGTCCCCTCCAAACAAGGTGGGCGTTCACACCCCTGCCGAGAGGAGGTTCCATGTCAGTCCTGTGCTCTGTTTAATCTGACCCTGCCTCTCTCCAACCCCCACACCAGTCACAAGGGGTGGCCTAGGGTGGACAGGACAGTCAATCCATAGGTCAGAGACCTACGATGTAGCTGATACAAAAGCTGACTTGTGAGCGGTGCTTGTGATAATCTAGGCCAAAGTGATCCTCTTTCTTGGTCATTGCAATGGAGACATATAAACAGAATCAGGCACTGGGTAATGGGAGGAGAAGGAGGAAAAGGAAGAATTGCTCTCTTGTTAGTTCATGTAGCTCCTGCTAATCTCTGCCTAAAATTAAAGAGTGGAACTAGATTCCACAGAGCAGTGGTTTTGGCCATCTGCGTTTTAAACAGGCATCCCAGGATAACCTGTGCGCCCTGAGGCTGTGCTTTCCAACAGGAATCCCGTGCAAGCCAATGGATGCAAGCCACACATGTGACTTCAGACTTTCTAGTCACCATATCAAGAGATAGAAACAGAAACAAGTGACGCCAATTTTAATGGATTTGACTTAACCCGATACATCCAAGATATAATTACTTGAATATGTAGTCAGTATAAAATGTTCACGAGATAGTTACATTCTTCCCTTTTGATACAGTGCCTTTGAAATCCGATGCCTATTTTTGTAGCCCCTCTCAGTTCGGACAAGTCACACGGAAGGTGTTCCGTGGCTGCGTGGCTAGTGGCCACCATGTTGACGGTGCAGCTCCAGGGTCTGGGCTCCACTGGTTCATGTGGATGAGAACTCCATGATGGGGGCCCTCCCCACGCTCACTTGACTAAGGAAACAGGGCTGGATTTCTCATGGGGAGGGGAGAGGAGTAGCATTTAGAGAGACATTCTACAAGCATGTGAGCAATGAAGTTAACTATTTCAAGATCTCAAATGTCACTTTTCAAGGAAAACCATTGCTGATGTACTTAAAAAAACCCTCACCTGAGGATATGTTCATTGATGAGAGAGAAACATAGAAACATTGATTAGTCGCCTTCTGTATGTGCCCTGATCAGGAAAACCTGCAGCCGTTTTGGTGCACGGGACAACGCTCCAACCAACCGAGCCACCCAGCCAGGGCTGGCTGATTTACCTTTCAGAAATATCACTCTTTATTAAAAAGAATTAGTAGCAATAGCTCACTGAATGCTATGGCATATACAAAACCGCAAGGTCCGTGGACTTCTCAGTGCTTTAACTGTAGTTCTCTTATGCTTCAGAAATCCTAACAGAACGCCAGTGAGCAATGCTGCTATTCTCCTAGGGAATATCTCGAATCCACTCTAGTTATTAGAGAAGGAGATCGTTTGAAAATACGCTTTGTTAATAGGAAGAAATTAGTCACAGCTGAAAGGTTTTCTTAGGCCCCGCCGAGGAATAAATGCTAATCAGCCACAAAATGAGGCAGTATAGAGCTTTATTGGGGTTTGTGCGCCTGGGCGAGATTTCCCGTCCGCACGGTGGGGCGAGAAAGCTGCAAGCAAACAGAGAATATGGGGGGGCGGTTATTTTGGTTGTCTCTCTTCGTGGGGACTGGGGATTGGTCCCCTCCGAACAAAGCAGCAACATACCATTGGTGGTTCTCCTCGCGCCCTGGTTTGACGTCAGCCGCCGTTTCCGGGTTGTGGTTCAGCCGCCATGTTTGTAGTTCAGCCGCCATGTTTGTAGTTCAGCCGCCATGTTTGTAGTTCAGCCGCCATTGTGTCCTGCCCCGCCCATCCTGACAACAACGCCCCTCACAACTGCCAAAGGGTTGTGGCTGAGGGCATGCGTTCCAGGGACATTCATGAGAGTGAGATCCCAGACCCTTGGGAGTTAGAATTCAAGAACTGAAGGCCCTTCCTTTATTTGTTTGGTCACTGGAGGGGCGCTGCTTGCACAGGAGCATACCGGGTGCAGATGAAGTACTAGAGGAATTCTGAGGAGGGAAGGCGGCCTCTTGAGGCATGCGGTGGAGAGAAAAGGTGCAGAAGGCATTAGAGAGGAAGCTGAAGAAAAAGTGGTTCAGGGAAAGGCCTGCTACCAAGGCTGGGTTGTATTTGGGAGGCGCTGGAGAGTCCCTGCTGGTTATGAGGTGGGGGGTCACATGGTCGGATAAATTTGGGAGCAGTGCAGAAGGTTTCGGGGTCAGGGTACCAGTTAGACAGCCAGCATTCATGGAGAGAAGCATGAAGCTAGTTTTGCTCATGAAAAGAACCAGAAAGAGATCACAGGAAATGGAACTTGAATAATGGGAATGGAGTAGGGGGAGCAGGCATGAAATCGGTGAGTTTCGGCAAGTGACAGCTGACTATGAAGGGAAGGAGTGGAGAGGAGAGGTCAGAGGTCACTCAGATTTACACTCTCTGCAACCGGAACAGGGAAGAGAGGAAGATAATGAGATTAAATTAAATCCAGACCCTTAAAGCAGTGTGATGAGGGGGTGGGGGGAGACCTGAGGCCAAGTGTCTGTCTGCCAATTACTGGAAGGTGAGCCTGGGGAAAATACTGACACTCTTTGAACTTCAATTTCCTTATCTCTTACGTGAAATGAATGACACAGCCCTCAGACCATGGCTCCTACTGACGTTGATCGGTACCATTGTCATCATCCTCATTTTATAGATCAAGATACCGAAGCACAACAAGGTGCAGAGCCAAGGTTCAGTGGCGGGCAGCCCGACTGCAGAGCCCACCCTCAGAGCACAGCTGGTCTTTCGATCCTTGTGACTTAGGCTGGGAGCTTGTCAGAAATGCAGACTGCCAGGCCCTGCTCCAGACCTACCAGATCAGAACCTGCATTTTAGCAAGCTCTTTAGATGATTCGGGGGCACACTGAAGTTCCAGTAAATCCCTGGTTCTCAAACTTGTCCGAGCACCAAAATCACTTGGGGAACTGGGAAAGATGATGATGGCGGTGTCCCTCTCCCAGAGGTTCCGATTTAATGAGCTCCGGATGTTGCCGGGCATCAGAATTTTAAAACCTCCCCCCAGTGAGTCTAATATGCTGTTAAGTTTGAGAATCACTTATAAATGCTGTATCCTTCCGCTCATTTCCTTCTCATACTTCACCGGGGGGAGATGGGTTGTTAGCACGAAGGTCTGAAGTACGTACGACTCCAGAAGTGAAACATTAGCAAGTCCCAGTGTTCACGCTGCAGTTGCTACAAGTACAAGTCTGTCGACTCAGGTAGGGAGACAGACTCGTCGCTTACTTCTTTATGTTGAGCTCCCATTTGGTAGAGGGGAGTACCTTTTCTCTGAGATGTTGCATCAGAGATTTGGGGACCTTCTGTAGCTGTGACCAGGTGGCCTGCAAGGTCCTTGATGTCCTCTGTCCGAGTCTGTGCTCACTAAGTCAGTCATTGTTCTCCCAGTTGAAAACAAAGTCTCCCAACCCAGAAATGCTCTTCACAAAGGCAGTAGAAAAAGAAAACACTGTTATTACTGCATCAGCATTAAACCAGAACACGATGCATGTCGCTGGCACTCTGTTCAGAAACGGCAAAGACAGAGCAGTGTCTCCCTCCCTCATGTCGCCAAGCAGGTGTTACCCAGTGCACACATGTTCTCGA